TAGGGTTGACCTAGCTAGGCAAGAGAGAATGGAGCAAAGGAGGGGTTGCACTAGCAACAATGGTGGTACAAATAGCTAACCCTAGAAGGGTTGTACTCGCTATAGAGCACCCCACTGCAGGCTAGAGCATAATATTCTGACACACCCCCATAGCCAAAGTGGGGTGTAATCAGCAGAGCAAGCAAAGCAGTACAAGCTCAGGGTGGATCACGATGTCACCACACATTCTGAGCACAATGAGGAGAAGCAATAGTTTAAAGTTCACAATTATGAGCAAAGCTAGAGGCAGTCACAGAGGGCAAGTGAGGAGGAGGAGGGCTGGCGAGAGGAGAGTAGATTAGGAGGCGACGACTGAAGCTGCAGACACACGGGCAACAGACGGCTCTGGTGCGACACAGTGGCTACCGGGAATGAGTGCCCCGGAGTACAGGAGTAACAGGCTCCGCGGCTAATACGCGCGGCAGGAGCAACGGACCCACAGGCGACGGCGCAACCGGCTCTCTGAGCTACCGGGAATGAGTGCCCCGGAGTACAGGCGCTGCGTACGACACGACGGCAACCTCCGCTCAACCTCCCCCAACAGTCCCACACCCCTCGACACACACCCCCTGCTTCAAACCCTAGCTCCACTCCCACGGTACCCCCCTTAAACCCCAAACCCTAGGCTCCCACACACCACCCCCCTCAGCGGCAGCTGTAGCAGAGGGAGACGAGGGAGGAGGAGGAGCAGGGGGAGTAACTCACAACCGACACCCCCATAGCCGCCACCCCCACACTCCTCACCCCCAAACCCTAAAACGGGCGGAACGGGGGAAGGAGCGCGGGGGACGGCGAGGGGGACGGTGCGCGACGGGAACGGGGGGCCGCGGGCGACGGGAAATCGGGGGCGCGCGGGGGTCCCCCACGGTAGGAAAACCGCCGCGCGTCCGGGGCGCATGGCGGGTAGAAAAACCGCCGCACGCCCCGAGCGCGCGGCGGGATGAAAAATCCGTCGCACGCCACGGGGCGTGCGACACAAACAGTAGTAGGAGCAGCGGAAGACTGAGGTGGTGGGGCCCACCCACAGGATCGACCCAACTGGATCGTCCTGCTCTGATAGCATGTCAAAATAGGAGCTAGAATCATGAGCCATAGCTAGGCTATTGACACTCGCTATTGACTCCTCATACCATTCCATGCACACATGCATGCACGCACACGGACAACAAGCCGAGTGCAAACCGTAGGGTTGCACCAACAAAACCTGCTCAAGAATCCGGGCAAAGACTCAGTGTTCAGATGGGTGAAGCCAAGTGAGGTAGAAGGGCTCCTAGGGGTGGACCTCACCTTCCGGATCGATAACCTGGAAGATTACATTAGAACGGGAAACTACAGAGTTTGGGAAACGGCGAATTCATTACCTGACCACAACGGTGAAAGTGGCGGTTGTAAACGGTTATATGAACCCCATCCTTGCCTTCCCAGCATAGGTGTACGCACCCCCACCAGAGATATGGGCAAAGATAGTGAAGCTGCTTCACAACTTTGTGTCTGGGAACCACGTGACGGCATGGAAACAGTTAGTCTTGTGGAGCCGATAGTTGTTGTTCAAGTCGCGGAGCAAGGGGGGCCTGGGCGTCCGGGATCCCTTCACAGAGCTGGGGGATATGCTGCCACGCAAGTGTCGCTCTTGATGTTTCAGCAGATGTGGTGGTGTGCGTACCTGTCAAAGAAGGCTGTCGACATTTAAGACTTTCATGATTTCTTTGGATATAAGATCTAGATGAAGCAGTAGGGAGGGCAGGGAAATAGTTAGTCTTGCTTCACAACTTTGTGTCTGGGAACCACGTGACGGCAGGGAAACAGTTAGTCTTGTGGAGCCAATAGTTATTGTTCAAGTCGCGGAGCAAGGGGGGCCTGGGCGTCTGGGATCCCTTCACAGAGCTAGGGGATATGCTGCCAGGCAAGCGTCGCTCTTGATGTTTGAGCAGACGGGGTGGCGTGCGGACTTGTCAAAGAAGGCTGCCGACATTTAAGACTTTCAGGATTTCTTTGGATATAAGTTCTAGATGAAGCAGTAGGAAGGGCAGGGCAAGCGGTGGAAACGTACATGCAAGCTCTTTCTGTAGTCCAGCTTTGCGGAAGGAATCATGGCGTCATCGTTCTGCGAGGTGGAGCAGGAGCTGCTGCTGCTCAACCGCCGCATCCTGCCAAATAGGAAGAAACCTATGGGGAAACAAAAGGCAGCAGCGGGGCTCAGGCGGTCAACCATGCGGGATCTGATTGTCGTCAACCCGGATGGGCTCAGATCACTGAAAGGCGAAAAGAATATGGAAAGAGCGTTCGGGGGGAAAGCAAGAGGGAGACTAGCTAAGTGAATCTTTGGATGAATGGAAAAAATTGTTGCTGTAACTGGTCACGGTGGAAATTTTCAAGGTGGTGTCTGGTTTCTTGCTGAAAGAGGCGGCATGCCATGGTTTGTGGAAAATAGTATGCGTGAAAGAAAACTCTCTTGTCTACCGAGCTTTCAGCTGCGTCTCTGGGGTTCTGGGGGGGACGGAGGAGCGCTACTGAGGTCCCTGCTGTGGTTTGAGAGGGATAGTTTTTGGGACTCGCGGGAGAACCCAAAGCGAGGCTGCTATGCTAATATGGGGAAAAGACAAACCGGTGCAACTCAGACAGCTCTAGATGGGTTTATCAAGGCATGGAAGAAAGCCGAAGCAGCAATCCACCTGGGATGATTTGCTGGGCTAAACGATCAACTGGCCCAGGGTGATTGAGGCGCGAGACTTGGAAGACATTCCAAACCGAGCGTGGGATGTGCTACTTCGGGTCCGCAGCCTCAATTTACATGTGGGGGAGAGTCTGCAGTTTCTTAGCTCTGGGGTCGCCTTCGTGCACGTTTTTAGTGCGTGCGCATACAGCCGGTGGTTCGGGCACTCTGAGAGCAATTCGCATGCTGAACATGGGAAGGAAGGTCGGGTTGCTGGGTGACTTTCTATCCCAACGAGGAGCATCAGGCTCAGGCTTCTACGAGGATACTATTACATTGATTGGATTGCACAAGATATGGGTGGAGAGGTGTGATGCGGCCTTTGAGCGGAGTATATTTTGGGCGAGAATATACAGAGAAGTGCAACGGCTTTCCAGCTGAATATCATGCTGGCCACATGGATGAAATGCTTCATGTCCTTGTGGTCAAACCAGAAGGCGGCTTTTCGTCCCCCTTAGAAGGACAAGGTGGGTATGGTAGGCACAAGCCCCTAGGCCCACGAGCCACAGTTACGATTGGCATTGTATTTTGCACTTTTTAATATATCTATGTGACATAGGAAAATCACTTTAGTATATCTATGTGACACAGGAAGATCACACAAATCCACAAATGTTAAGGACCACCACAACCATCATATTAACACCTCCTAGCGTATAAGTGGTTCTTAACATAACTTATCGATTTTCAAATTTTATATTGGAGTTAGTGAAAGCACGCAGCTTTCCCTTTCACATCACAACATCTACCGCGTACAGCACTGTTCCGGCCATTTTGTGCAACAACCTCTCTACATTTGCCTGGGCTAGTGTTTCTACCACCACCACCATCGCACCCAAGCCATGTGATTTGGCTGGTGACTCGCAACCCGGTCCTACTCCTTAACAACTCTCAATTTTGGCGCTAGGCATGCAGGGCAACCAAGAGATTGCTCGTTACCACTACCATCATTGTTTCTGAAAGGCAAAACTTATTCCTTAACGGGGTTTACTACTTCGCGTACTACAACCCCCACTTATGGAAGTGCACAGTCAGTAGATTTGCTTGATACCGAAGCACCTTGCTTGGCCTTTAGTTTCCTTTTGCCCAACCTGCACCCAGCCTCGTGTTCCCTAGGTTCAAGCCTAGCAAGGTTGATCGCGTGTCTTTCTTTATATCGCCAATCCATATTGTTACAGCTTCGTTATTTGCTATTCCACGCAATATGTTGAAGCACCTGGTATCAGAGCTACTTTCCTAGTTCACCCCGCTTTTCAAGGGTACGTGGTATCAGAGCTACTTTCCTAGTTCACCTTGCTTTTAGTGCAGTTCGACATGAATTTGATACGAGGTTGCCTGATATGAGGCCGTAGGAACACGCCCTAACTGCACATATAGTTACGCCTGTTGCCATTCTTTGCAGGTAACCGTTCGGTTCAGGTTGGTCAACAGGCCCGACAGTTGACTTGCGACAGTTGACCTACATGCCCTATATGGGCTAACGCGATAATGTTGCTGATGTTGCTTCGGTAGTAGCAGGTGCGATACTGCTGCACCTACGGGAATTCTTAGGAGTTTCCTGATTATTCCAACAAGTCTTTCAGAAGGCAATCAAGGTTACGCGGAGAAATCCAAGGTGCTCCCTTTATTACACCAATATAGGCAAAAGCAAGGGCCCGAACGAGTGTTATTTCCCATTACAAGTGGCTGTTACCGAGTGCCTCGGTAAAGCGAGTACGTCCACAACATTTTGACTGACAGTGGCGCCAAACCTATCTAGCCGTTGATGGCCATGGGGCGCATCGGTCAGCTTTCGGCAGATTTTTCGGGCCCACCAAGTGCGACTGTGCAGTGCAACCCTCGTCCCCACATCTTCCTCGTCCTCCCTCTCCGCTGAGCTGATGTGTGCTGCGACCGTGAGCGAGACTGCGTCGCATGATCGCATCCCTCTTCATCACCCTGTCGCTCTCGCACAACCGCACAACAACAACACACACCCTCATTTTTCTGCATAGCCACGCAAATTCACTTCTATCTTTTTTTTCCGCAGCAATAGCGTTTCTGCATCCAATCAACCGCCATTTTGCTTACTGATTTCGGTTCAGCCTGATGTTGCGAGTTTTGCCTATTCCAACTGCGATTGCACCAAGAAATCTCGCATCAGTTTAGTCGTCGGCGATTCATGCCTTCATAATATCGTTCGGTCGTCCGCGATCATCCTAAATTTTACTCCTCGGCGATTCTTGTGTTCGTCCAATCGACCTTTGGAATGGCGTCGGTAGACGGGTTTCAGGTCCCTTCGGACGATGATTACGACGCCCTATACCAGATATTCAACCAGTATTGCTGGTGCGTGCTCGACCTGATCATGCTGTTCGTAGTAGCGAAGACAGGGACTTGGTTTATCAGGTTAATTACGGTGGTTTGCTCGACAGATTGCCAGGCGTAGCTTCATCGGTTCGCGCTGAAATATAGTTTTTGAGTTTTCGTCTGCCACATTCGTCCCTTGTCTGGAACGAATTCCATCCGTGTGTCCTTGGCAGCCTCGGCACGGCGCGCGAGGTGGACGAGATGGACAACATCAAGTTCGTGCGATTCTGTCGCGACCTAGGGATCATCGCGCACGCGGGAGGCGGCGCGGGGCTGCACGTCACGGACGTCGACCTGCTCTTCGTCACCATCAAGCCGCGCGTGAGCCCCGCGACGCCGCGTATCGAATCGTAGCCGTTAAGCCGCTAGCCGTTAAGCCGTGTCTAGAATCGTAATTATTCAACCCTTCGAAGGATTAAGCCGTTAAGTTGTGTTCAGAGTTGTACCCGCGAACCTTTGAGGGGTATAGCATCTAGTGCCTCTTTGCAGTTCGTCTTCTTCGGTTTGCGAAGCGATTAGTTGTGAGCGACGAATTGTGATCGACGAAATGTGAGCGACGAACTGCGATCGACGAGCTGTGAGTGCCGAGGTGCGAGCGACAATGTGTGGGTGTTCTGCTTGCCGCGCGTGTGCGTGCAGGGCCGCAAGAAGCTGACGTTTGACAACTTCTGCGACGCCGTGGCCGTCATGGCCGACAAGCTGGGCGTCACCCGCACCGACCTCATCCGCCAGGTGCGACCTCATCCGCCAGGTGCGACCTCATCCGCCAGGTGCGACCTCATCCGCCAGGTGCGACCTCATCCGCTAGGTGCGACACGGGGTACGGCAGGTGCGACCTGGGGTACGGGAGGTGGGAAAGGGTGGGTGGCACAGCAGTTCCGCTTCCTCAGTGTCTCACGCTCGATCCGTTTCTTCATGTTCACGTGTCCCTGCCATCGCATGCCACGTGCAGGCCATCGCCATGGACCTGCCGCAGCCCGCGCTGACGTCAGCGACGCGCCACTCCATGACGCTCTCCCACCACGTCTCCTCGTCGCTCCTCGCGTCACACCACACCCTCTCCTCCGCACACTCGCGCCGCCTCTCCCTCCCTCACCCCGCCGCCGGGCACGCTGCTTCCGCGCACGCTGCTTCCGCGCACGTTGCCTCCGCGCACGCTGGGTACACCCACGCGGCGTCCGCGCACGCTGCGCCCGCCTCCCCCGCCGCCCTCGCGCCCCTCGCCGCCCACACGTCCTATCCGCTCAGGGAGGGCCGGGGCGGACGACCCGCTGCTGGTGGCGCTAGTGGTTCCGCTGGGGGTTTCGGGGGAGGGGGGGGTGGCGCGGGGGACATAGTGCCGCCTGGCGACGATTTTCCCCCGAGGCTGAGGCTTATCCGCACGCGCTCGCTAGAGGCGGAGGAGCACACGCGCACTGCTGCTGGCGGGTTCGATGCATGCCGGCCAGAGCCGCTGAGTGAGCTGAGGTCATCACTGTCGGATCACAACTCGCATGAAGGCAGGGCGATGGGCGGAAGGGAGAAGGGCGAGAGGGGGGCGGAGGGGGGGCAGCAGGTCGGGGGAAATGGTGCGGGGAGGGGTGCAGGCGAGCGGAATGAGAACTCGCAGGGCGGGGAGCTGTATGCGCAGAGGCAAGCAGTTGCGGGAGGCAGGAATAACGAGGCACTGGGGTATTTGCACGGTGGGGAGGAAGTGGTTGCGAGAGGAGGGTATGCGCAGGGGATTGCTAATGATAACGATGGGGACAGCAGTGGCGTGGGCTGGACGGATGGCGCCATGGGGCGAGTGGTGGTGTCCGCTGTGGCAGCAGCAGCAGAGGAATCGAGGCAGGGCCGCAGGGGCCAGGCAGGAGGGGTAGTGGGAGGAGGCGCGCAGCAGTATGATGGTGAGTGCCTGTGAGAGTTCATGGGTGGTGCATAGGGTGGTGCATGGGGTGTTGCATGGGGTGGTGCATGGGGTGTTGCATGGGGTGGCACACGTGCAAGGCGAGAATGAGTGCGAGAGGTAGAGTGTGGGAATGAGATGTGTGAAGAGGAGGGGGAGGGGTGAAATGAGCGTGGCTGTGTGAGGGGTGGCGAGTTGAACTGAGTAATTTAGTGGGTAATGCGTGTGCAGTATGCTGGGGTGTTTCCAATGGCTTTCCTCCCACTTCTTGTGTCTTCTGCTGACGTGACGCCATGCAGATGATGGAAACAGCAGCACGGGTGGGCGACTATCTAATGAGGACCCGGCAGCAGCAGCAGCGGAGGGCGCGGTGGCGAGTCTCATGTTCTTCGACGCCTTCCGCTTCTTCTCCCTCCCCCACTTTGCTCGCCACCACTTCGTTCCCCTGGTAAGCTCTTCCTGCCCTTGCCTCATGCCTCTTCCAACCCTGCTGCCTCAGCGGCTCATTTAATGTACCCACGTCCGCTCCGAGCATGGCATGTCAGCAAGATACTTATGCCCGTTCCAACTCCATTTCTTGTGCCCTTGTTGCTGTGCACGGCGTTCTCATGGTCATCGTGCATGCCCCAGTGAGTCATGTTCTGAACCCTCTATGCTTAACACACTGCATGCGCCTTTCTCTCTCTGCCCATGACATGGGCAAGCAGGCGCAGTGCGGCAGGCATCAGCTGCAGGGGCTGCCGCCGCCGCGCATGGACAGCATTCGATTCATCAAGATGTGCAAGGAGACCGCCATCCTTGACGCCCGCTTCACCACCACCGTGCGCCCCTCCCTCCCTACATCCATTTCGCCGCCTGCCCTCCCTCGCTGCCTGCTTCATTCTGTGTTTGCAGGCGCCATTCTCCATGCATGCTGCACCCCGCTGTCAGTTGTCCCCGCTCATTGGGCTCTCGGGCTCCCATACCGCGCCTGGCTGCCCACATTTCTAACCTTTGCTGCGCACATCGCTCTTGTTAATCTCTCTCGCATTTGCTTGCAACCTTCTCCACTGGGCAAGGCGTAGATGCGTGGATGGTTTCCTCTCGTCTCTGCCCTTGCCCCTCCTATTGCCCCATCCCATGTTGGCCCCATGGCCCCACGTCCCGACCCACACATCCATCACCTGTTCCTCACCACGCCTCTCCCATTCCCCCCCTCCACGCCCCACCAGAGTGCGGACATCATATTCAGCAAGGTGACACGCGGCAGTGAGCGGAAACTCTCCGTCTACACGCTGGCCGCTGCGCTGCGCCTCATCGAGGCAGAGAAAGGCCTCGCCCCGCCCGCTCTAGAGCGCATCATCATCGCCCACTTCCTCGCCCACGTCCCCGGCGCTGCCCTCCCACCGCCCGGCGCCAACCCCTCCTCCTCCTCCCCCTCGTCCGACTGCAGCAGCAGCAGCAGCAGCAGCGGCGGCAGCAGCAGCAGCAGCGGCAGCAGCTGGAGTGGATGCAGCAGAGTGCAGAGCGCCAGTACCCCCCCGCTGCCGGCTGCTGGGCTGCTGCACCCTCGCCTGCCCCCACATCCGTGCCCTCGCCTTCCCCCGCTCGCTCCAGTGGGTCTAGCCAGCGGTCAGGGCAGGGCATGTATGCCCGCCTGCTGCAGCTGCACCAGCAGCGGTTTGTGCACGAGGTTGGGGGTGAGGTTGGGAGTGGTTATGGTGGGTTTGAAGTGGTGGGAGGCGGTGAGGGGCAGGGGCGGGTGTGTGGGCGGTGGCAGTCGCCCCAGCCCCAGCGGCGGCACTCGATGTGCGCGATGAATGCTTGCTATGAGCTGCCCCACCACCGCACGCACAGCACAGCGGTGGAGGATGAGAAAAGAGAGGAGCGGAGGGAGGAGAGGGAAGGTGGTGTAGGTTACAATGGGGCAGGGTGGGAGGGGACAGCAGAGCAGCAGGGCAGTGGGGCGGGCGGCATGGTGGGGGAGGTTGGAGGTGGGAGGAGGAACAGGCTGGTGGCAGGAGGCAGTCTAGCATGCCCCACTCTGTCCTACCACTGACTCGTGTGTTCACTCACACACACACACACGCACATGCTGAGTTAGGTCTGCGACTAGATTAGTAACAAAATGTACCTTTTAAGGTTCTGTACTGTACAGCTTAACTTCATAGGTAGAACTATTCTATTATATTTAATACACAATTGCCTTGCTCTCTTGGGCGCATTGCAGAACTGCAGGATATTGCTAGAAAAACAGCTACGGTACTGGTACCGTATTAGCGAATAGAAGCCATGTGAGTATGGCACAATTTTCCTGCAAGGAGGTTATAGAAGAGGGTTTGAAATGATATGATTTCTGCTTTTTTATATTAGAGTTCTGTTCAAATTACTCCCTCGCTTTTTCCTTCGTCTCCAATTCCTGCGCGACGACATTCCAGGGCGAGATGTTTGGAGGTGACAATCTCAAGGCTGTAGTGCTCGAAGGACCACAGATACTACACTTGATCTGAGCCACGAGGCTAAAGTGGGGCGTCGCTTAGCGGTGCGCCTGCTGGTGGGGGGCATGGACGGCGCGTCCGGCACGGAGCAGTCATCGGACGGGCGAGAGGTGTGGGAGCGGCGTGCACAGCGAGTGGGAGTGCACAAGAGTGCGTCGGAGGCCAACATCAGGGGAGCCGCGTTGCGGGGCGGATTTGTGTTGGCGGACTCCATGGGGGCGTTGGCGGGCGCGGACAGCGGCAAGTGGGTGAACGGCGGGTCGGCAATGTTTGAGGCGCAGCGGAGCGCGGAGCAGGAGGAGCTGGCATACCTGGGCATGGAGGCAGAGCGCATCCAGCGTAGCGGCGTCATCGACATCGTGAATGATGACGATTGCAGCGGCGGTGGCAGCGGCAGCGGCGGCGGTGGCGGTGGCGGCGGCAGCGGCGGCTTCCCCAAACACCTTAGCTGGAACTACCGCGGGCTGGACATCACCCCCAAAGGCAGCAGTCGCGCGCAGGCAGGCGGCGACAGGGATAGCGGGGTCGGGGTGGAGGCGGTGCTGGCGTCGTGGGCGCAGGAGAGGCGCGAGTTGGAGGGCCAGGTGGGCGCACTGAAGGCGGAGCTGAAGCGCAAGGAGAGAGAGCTCAAGGCGGCGGGCAAGGGCAAGGCAGCGGCAGGCAGGGAGGTGGATGCGGTGTGGGGGCAGGTGAGCGCGCTGGAGGCACAGCTGCAGGAGGTGCAGGGCGACAAGTCGGCGCTCGAGAAGGAGATCGAGGGGCTGCGCGCGCTGCACGTGTCGCGTGCGCGTGAGTCGGGGGATGGAGCGGGCGGGCGGGCGGCCGATGTGGAGATGGCGGGCATGCTGAAGATGGTGGGCGACTTCTCCCGCCGACTCGCTCTTGCGGACGACGCCGTACGACGCGCCGAGGCAAAGAACGACGATTTGTCGGGTATGGCATGATTGGGGTGGAGGGGACGGAAGTGAAGCGGAGCGGGGAACTGGAGCATGAAGAGGGTGAGGATGTTCGGGAGCGAGCGAGTGCATGTGCGTCCGTTCGCTTTCAGTCGTCTTGTACTCCCCACCCTCCACCGTTTCTTAACGTCGCCGCTCATATCCCCAGCACCGCTGCTTCTCCTGTCGCTTGTTCCGCGCATGCTTTTCCCCACTGCACTGCGCAGAGCGCTTGAAGGCGAGCGAGGCAGAGTTGCGTGGAACGAGGGAGGCGCTGCGCACGGCACAGGAAGACCGGGATGCACTGGCAGCGGAGATGAAGGAGGCACTGGACACATGGGCGTGGACTGGCTGTGCACACCCCGCTCCTGCTGCTGCCACCCCTGGCAGAGGGGGCAGCAGCGGCAGCGGTGCCATGGGTATGGGCGCATCAAGCACGTCGGCATGGAAGGGGTTGCCGTGGGCTGAGCACACGGGGCAAGGCATGGCGCGGAACGGCATCCCAAGTGTTGACGATGGCAGGGATGGCATGCAGCAGTGGCAGCAGCGCGTACGGGATATTGCTGGTGCGAGCCAGTGGGGAAGGGGTGGGTATGGTGCTGGTGGTGGCGTGAGCCGGCCACCCCGAGACCTCAAGATGCGACCAGGTGCAGTTTGATGCCCTCGCGTGCAGCCCGTCCCCACCTTGACTTGCTGCTGCTAGCCTTGACTTGCTCCTGCCCGCCTTGACTTGCTGCTGCCCGCCTTGACTTCCTGCTGCCCTTCTTGACTTGCTGCTGCCCGCCTTGACTTGCTGCTGCCCGCCTTGACTTGCTGCTGCCCGCCTTGACTTGCTGCTGCCCGCCTTGACTTGCTGCTGCCTGCCTTGACTTGCTGCTGCCCGCCTTGGCTTGCTGCTGCCCGCCTTGACTTGCTGCTGCCCGCCTTGACTTGCTGCTGCCCTTCTTGACTTGCTGCTGCCTGCCTTCACTCGCTGCTGCCCGCCTTGACTTGCTTCTGCCCGCCTTGACTTGCTGCTGCCCGCCTTGACTTGCTGCTGCCCGCCTTGACTTGCTGCTGCCCGCCTTGACTTGCTTCTGCCCGCCTTGACTTGCTGCTGCCCGCCTTGGCTTGCTGCTGCCCGCCTTGACTTGCTGCTGCCCGCCTTGACTTGCTTCTGCCCGCCTTGACTTGCTGCTGCCCGCCTTGACTTGCTTCTGCCTGCCTTGACTTGCTGCTGCCCGCCTTGACTTGCTGCTGGTCGCTTCCGGTGACAAACAGCACAGCATCACAACACTGGTCTTCATTTTCTTATCTTTATCGACTGTTGCTATGCCCAGTGCGCACAGTACTAGTCGCTGCACCAGGCCATGCCTTGCTATCCAACCTTCTCCACAGCCTTGAATGTACAAAATGTGCCATTTAGGCAGCAGTTGTTTTAGACGCATAAGAACAATCCGGTGTATTCACGGGCGCTTACGAACAAGTGTTTTTGTAGTCAGAGTGGGAGTAAGGTATACGCGTGGAGGTGCTCACAATGGTTCTCCCTCCCTCCCCACGAGTGCCATCAAGCACAGTAGATATGGTACTATCAAGAGTACCAACAAGCATAGCACCAAGCAAGCAGCAACCCGCCAATCAGTGTGTGCGTGCGCACAAGGTAGCAGACAGTCCAACCGTACAACCACCCAGAGCACGTGCATAGTAGTATAGGGCACAGCTGGTCAGATTACCATATGAGGCGTTCAGGGTTCAGACGCAGTGGAGTACTATCAAGTACGTACTAGACACCCATTCCCCTGTTAGTGTGGCACAGCCAGTTAGTACGGTACCGGTATGGCACAGCCAGAACCAGAGGCAGTCAGTGAGCGCCCATGGCGGTGTAAGGGACAACGCCCCCCACCACCTAGGGCTGGTCGTCCTGACTGATGCCCGTGTCCCCCGCCTGTTGCGGTTGCTGCATCCTGCATCCGTGATGCCGCGCGCATGGTCCACTACCAGCCGGACTACTATCAACCGGACTACTACAACGATGGAACTGGCCGAGTGTGCAAGCTGCTGATGAGCTTATGCCCTCCAAAGTGTTCGTCTTCGGGGCGGCCATGTGTTCGGTGCCCAAGCGTGAATGCGGCAGGGGAGTGTCAACGGGAGTTGGCCTCGTCCTTGCTTGGGCGGAGCCACTGTCAAACTATAATGATGCTTGTGCTGTGTAGGCTGTAGTGGGGTAGCCCATAAAGGGTACAACCCAAATTAGGGTTAGTACTTGTACCCACATTTCTGTTCAATGCACATCATTTGCTCGTTAGTTCTTGACATGTTTTCAGAGCAATAGGTCTGTAGGGCCGTTATTTTGCCAGGCCCACCATTAGCTAGTGACCGACTGCGGTTACCGCGCTACCCCACGCCCTGCCCTGCGTCGCGCCGCCCGCGCACGCCCTGCCCTGCCTTGCGTCATGCTATCCATGCACGCTCTGCCCTGCGTCAAGTTGCCCCGCGCACGCCCTGCCCTGCCTTGCGCAGCCCCGCGCACGCCCTGCCCTGCTCAATGTCGCGCCGCCGCGTGCAGACCGTGCGCCGCCCGTCTGCACTGCCCTTGCAGCCAGCGCGCCACCCCTGCCTCTGCGTGCCGCCCCTGCAGGCCCGTGCTCTGCCCTTGCAACCAGCGCACTGCCCTTGCAACCAGCGCACTGCCCTTGCAACCAGCGCGCTGCCCGCGCGCTGCCCTTGCAGCCCGCGCGCCGCCCCTGCCTGCCCGCGCGCAGCCCCTGCCGGCCCGCACGCTGCCCTTGCAGCCCGCGCGCGGCGCGCATCTCTTGCAGCCCACCTGTGCCTGCCCGCGCGCCGCCCCTGTTTGATGATCGCGCGCCGCCCCTACCTGCCCGCGCGCCGCCCCTGCCTACCCGCGTGCTGCCCTTTGCGGCCCGCACGTCGCACTACCTGCCCACGCGCCGCCCTCTGCAGCCCATGCGCCGCCCTTCTGGCCGCGCACCGCCCCTGCCTGAACGTGCGCCGCCCCTGCCTGCATGTGCGCTGCCCCTTGCTGCCCCCGCCCTCTGCAGCCCGTGCGCCACCCTGCTGGCCGCGCGCCGACCCTGCCTGTCAGCGCACCGCCCTACTCTGGCTGCGCGCCGCCCTTCCCTGACTGTGCGACGCCCCACCCTACCCTACGCGCTACCCTAGTGCCTGCTCGTCGCCCTGCCCTCACTGAGTGCTGCCCTGCTGGTCGCATGCCTCCATATTATGCCTGCTATGACTTCTCTTCGTGGTAGCGGTGGGAGTGGTGGCGGCGGTGGTGGCAGCAGTGGGAGTGGTGGCGGCGGACATAGTGGCAGTCGCGGTGGAGCTGTTCAGTGGGGAGTTTCTGGCGGTGGCCAGATGCAGCTGCAAAAGCGTCCGCGCGAGACCCTTACTCCACAGTAGCTCCGTGAGTGGTACGCTAGTAGGTGTGGTGGCGGCATCCGTAGTGGCAGTCTCGGTGGAGCTGTTCAGTGGGGAGCTTCTGGCGGTGGCTAGATGCAGCTCCAATGGCGTCCGCGCGAGACCCTTACGCCCCAGCAGCTCCGTGAGTGGTACGCTAGTAGGTGTGGTGGCGGCGGCCGTAGTGGCAGTCGCGGTGGAGCTGTTCAGTGGGGAGTTTCTGTTGGTGGCCAGATGTAGCTGCAGCGGCATCCGCACGAGACCCCCCAGCAGCTTCGTGTGTGGTACGCTCAGTGTGGGGCGTCTCGGAGTAATGTTTGCCGCCCATACGTCATTCGCACAGGTGATCGGGCTGGTAAGACTTGCGAGATAGTTGGTCACACACAGTCCCGCTGCTTCTCCTGTCTGAGCGACGCCTGATGCGCAGAGTTTGGCGACGAGGCTGAGCTCCCCCGCTGGCTAGAGCTGCATCGGAACAAGGTGGATATATTTGCTCTGGACTATGACGCTATCCTTATTGCCATGTATGCTTTGACTAATGGTTCTGAGGGTGACTGTTACCTGTGTGTGCCGCCCGACACTGGTATAGAGGCTGCCGCTCTAGGTGCTTGTGAGTCTTCTCTCTCTGATAATGCAGCTGCTGAGGCCTTGTACACCTTCACGCTTGACTCAGGTGCTTCCCGCTGTTTCTTTCGCGACAGTACCACACTCACACCGCTCCCTGCACCAATTGCAGTCAGACTGCTGACCCCTCAGGGGGCCCAGTTCTTGCACGTTCCACCACTGTTCTCCTGTGTCTGGCGGTTCCGTCTGGCTCACTGTCACCTCCCCTCGTTCTCTACGAACTTGGTGAGTACCGCTGCCCTCCAGGATGCGATGGTCACTACCACCACTACTGGGGGTCAGCGTGTGGCGATCTGCACGTGTACACGGACGGGCCGCCACCTGGCCACGTTCACCCGTCGGCCTGGGTCGAGCCTGTACACACTGACTACTGAGCCTCCCCAAGTAGCTGCGTCTGGTCAGGTGCCCGCGTCAAGTCAGGTAGCAGCCCCTTGCTCGTGTCGCCACCTCTCGCACCAGACTCTCCTCTGGCACCACCGCCTTGGTCACCCCACCTTGCCACGCCTCCGTAGCATGCACTCCCGCCTCCTTGTCTCTGGTCTTCCCAGGTCTCTGCCCCCCCTCCCGCGCTCGCCTGCCCCGCCCTGCCTTCCTTGTGTCGAGGGGCGGCAGCGCGCCGCTCCTCACTCCTCGTTTCCCTCGACAGAGGCTTCCCTACAGACTCTCCACGTCCTATGGACGTGTGGGGCCCAACCCTCGTCAGTAGACAGGATCGCGAGCGGTATTTTTTGATGGTTGTTAACGACTAGACGCATTTCACCACGGTCTTCCCCTTCCATAGCAAGAAGGACGTCCCTTATGTCTTGATTCCTTGAATCCGCGCCGTACATCTCCAGCTCCCCGAGCGGTTCCACACGGAGTTCTCCAGCTTCTTGTCTTGCGTCTACACAGGGAGAACTCTCCAGCTTCCTGTCTTGCGTCTACAGGGAGAACTCTCCAGCTTCCTGTCTTGCGTCTGCACTCTGATAGAGGTGGTGAGTTCTCCTCCGACCTCTTGCGGGACTTTTGTCGTGGGGAGGGCATCCTCCAGTCGTTCACGCTTCCGGCCTCCCCGCAGCAGAATGGGGTTGTTGAGTGCTGCATTGGCCTAGTCATGGAGGTGGCTCGTACCTCCATGATCCATGCGGCTGCTCCCAATTTTCTGTGGCCGTTTGCGGTCCGGTACGCTGCGCATCAGCTCAACCTCTGGCCCCGTGTCTCCTTGTCGGAGACCTCGCCTACACTGCGTTGGACGGGGGAGGTTGGCGATGCGTCGGTGTTCTGAGTCTGGGGCGCTCGTGCCATTGTCAGCGATACCTCCGCGGACAAGCTCTCCTCCCGCGCCATTCCCTGTGTCTTCCTTGGCTTCCCCCCTGACGCGCCTGGCTGGCAGTTTTACCACCCCACCTCACGCCGTGTCCTGTTCTCCCAGGATGTTACGTTTGACGGGTTGGTTCCCTTTTACCGTCTCTTTCCCTACCGCACTGCCCCTCTCCCCCCCCCCCCCGCCGCTCTTCCTCGCTCCAGGTCCCCCTCCAGTAAACCCCCACCCCCCTCAGGGTCCTGCTCCTTCAGGTGTGTGGTAGACCTACTCCCCTTAGTTGAGCCTGTCAAGGTCACTGGTGACTCTGGTGCTGCTCGGAGTGCAGCGTCTGGGGG